ACATACAGTATAATGCTGACATACAGTATAATGCTGACATACAGTATAATGCTGACATACAGTATAATGCTGACATACAGTATAATGCTGACATACAGTATAATGCTGACATACAGTATAATGCTGACATACAGTATAATGCTGACATACAGTATAATGCTGACATACAGTATAATGCTGACATACAGTATAATGCTGACATACAGTATAATGCTGACATACAGTATAATGCTGACATACAGTATAATGCTGACATACAGTATAATGCTGACATACAGTATAATGCTGACATACAGTATAATGCTGACATACAGTATAATGCTGACATACAGTATAATGCTGACATACAGTATAATGCTATAATGTATTATAGAATAATCCTATAATAAAGGTCATTGTAAAAAGACAGACATTTTAGGATTCTAACTAATTCCCATTCTCAACCAATTATTAATATAAATTGCTAAAAAGAAAATGGTGTAATATAATCAACAGAAGGGTGCTCCTTGGTTCATTGTCAGGTTCATCAAAGTTAATCCATCACTGCTTATAAATGACTGTATACTTTGATAACATGAGTAGCATTTGTGGCAGGTTTCTAGCTTTGATACCATATCAGTGCTTTATGTGAAAATCTGTTTCTTTGTCTATTGATTATTGTCAGTAATATTCTATTTTTGTCTACCTTTTGTTGGTGTTCCTGGAGTTGTTGCATTTGGTGGCCACATCATTTCTGTCTGGGCACCATAATCTGACATAAAACAATAAAATGAATGAATTAAAATCAAAATACAAACAGGGAACAAAGCCTTACTATTATAACAATTGAGGCATTCTAATATAGTGCGATGATGCRATTTCGCATCACCTAAAAATCACATTTTTCCGCATAATAGATWAAAGTCGCATAATTAGTCAAAAATTGCATAGTTTTCGAAACAAAAACATGTTTCCCATTAAAAATAAATTAAGTTCTGTCAATTTCATTTTAGAATTTATATATAAAAATATTATAATTTAGATATAAACCTTTTTTGAGTGGAAAATATTTGAAAAACCATCCAATATTCGATCAAAACAAACGTGTCTAATATGATTTCATCATTTATCTACAAGGCGTTACTTGCTYGACAGCAGAGTCTGGGAACTGGTGCTAGTTTTATGGMGGAGCTTCTTTTCTTTTCTTCCAWAGATTTCTTAGCATCGTGATTGATTTAATGGATTCTGCGTATAATCTTTTCACAATATTTCTTCTGAATATTTTAATAAAAGTTAAAAAAGGTAGAAAGAAAAAAAATTGTGTCCAGAAGCTGCTTAAGTCGAGAATCAAACCYGCAATCTGCAGTTCTTATATTYGACGCCGCTATTCGAGTATGTGATAAGAGAACATTTTGTATAATGATAATATTGACACGAAAATCTGCAAATTGCTCTTATACTAAAACGCGCCTTTTTACCGTGTCCAGGCCAAAAAAAATTGCAGAGACTTTTTTTGACGTTGCAGTTTAGCGAGGGACCGAAATTACAACTTGAAGCAATAAAAAGTCATAAATTTAGTCTGTTGTTTTAAATTAGATAAACACTAAAAGCCATAGAATCGTAAATGAAAAAATGACAAAAAAAATGACAAAAAATTAAAATAAACATGAGAAAAAGATTTCGAAATATTGCCACATAATCGGGAATTTTTGCTGCATAATTGAACATTTGTGCTGCATAATCTGATGTAAAAATGCCGCATAATTTTCATTTTTTTTCCGCACTATATCAGAATGCCTGACAATTTGTATCCACAATCAAATTGGAAACATAAAGAAGGAATTTACCAACCTGGTGGTGCACACATTCTTTGCCATCTTTGGAAGAGGGTTGATTTTAAACAATCTATAAAAAATACAACAGTCCTCCATATTAGAATGGAAAAGTCACAATGTCAACGTTAYAGGGATTACAAGGACTCATGACAGCTGTCATTATCCCATTGATAGAAGTCTTCATCTTTCATATTGGTTGACAAGATCACATTCGGCCTACAATGTCTTGCTCGGCCAGGACTAATCTGTCATCAGTGTCCCTAGGTCCTGTCAACTTAATCCGATTAGTGAGTCAGACGAGTGGTCAAAGGGACCGCTGGTTATTGCCTGACCCTGTCTCTTTTGGTGTTCAGCCAAGTCGAAGTGATTTTAATCCTGTTAATGAATAACGTTCCTGGCGAGACAGCAGTGGCTGGTACAACAAGGACAGTGGTATTAAATTCAGCAACAACCATTTGAGAGGAACGATCATCAGGGAAATCAAGTGTTTTTAGTGACTATATAACAATTAGACCTCTAGGTCGAGTGGGCTACGAGCTAATAGCCCATGAGGCCGAGTCCGCGGTCTGTATCGAGTTCGAGTACTCGAAAGCGGATGGTACTTTACTCGAGACCGGTACTGTAATTGTTTTAGTATATTAAACATACTAATCGGTCAAATAATGAAAACTAGACGCTCTTGGAGCGTGAAGTCGGACTAGCTGCTTGTGAAGATTGAGAAAGACAGGATATTACATAGTCTCCTTCGCAGCCTACCAGGGACAGGAAGCCCGACAAAGGGGTAGGCTGCGAAGGAGACTAGATATTACATGGATAAAAATATTTCTTAACTTTTTTTCCAAAACAGCCAAACTCACGGTCTAATAAGAGCGTCTAGTTCAAAATATGCAAAATTTATTGAGACTTTAAATAAACTTGACCTAAAAGGTCATGTAATTAACGCGATAAGAACGTCGCTTGCTTTGACTGATAAAATCAACTACGCTAGATTAAATGTCTCGCTAATTGATATCATGACATCTAAAACGTTGACCTCTCAGGCAAAGAAAATAAAAACTTTACAAGGAAAAAGATGCCTATAAAATCATTAAATTCGCCTTTCTGTTATTGATAAACAAAGTTTCTTCTTCTCCTGATTTGAAATCTTTGCCCACACAAGACTGTCTAACACTAGAAAGGATATTGCTTCAGTTTTGTAAGCCACAACTCGAAACTCCATGCGATCTGCACATGCGCGTACTTCTAATGCCTAGACTGATGCATTTCGATGAGATCACAGATACCACATTTGTAAACGAATAGTTTTTTTGTCATATAAAAGTCAAGTAGCATATAACATTTACTAACGATATTCGTACATCTATACGATTGAGATCGTTTGAGCTTCCGGTAATGTATTAACACAGACCCAATTGTTAATTATTAAATTCTTAACTTCCGGTGGTCCAAACGCGACATGATACATAGATTGACTAAAAGGTAAAACTAAAGTCGGGCCGCCTTCGGCTAGCCCGACTAACAAATTGAAATATCCTTAAAATAATTTATAATCTATAATTTATTTATTTTGATTTTCCCGTGTATGGTCTATCACAAATTAGACCATTAGTAGAGTAGCCAATCACAGCGCAGTATAAGTGATAGACCATATAATTATATACTTCAGATAAATAAAACTTTAYTTATTGTCGACTATCTAAGTTGGATAAATTAAGCAACTTGTTGATCTTATAGGTAATAATTTCAGTTCTAGCGCCCTTGAGTCAATTTCATCAGATTCAAGGGGTTTTCCAGGAGTTGTAGCAATTTTCCCCATTTTCAAGGGCTTTTCAAGTGCCCTTGAAAGCGAGTTTTCAATTCCAGGACTTTTCAAGGATTAGCATGAATCCTGTATCCAGTTCTTAGTCAACAACGCACATACATGTATCTTATGTTAATAGAAATTGATAAAAGGACAGAGACAGAMTCAAAACATTAGCAATGAAATGAATAAACAAAGATAATTATAATATAATATACACATGTAATAATATGTACCTCTAGGGCTCATGTTGTAAGTCTTATGTCTTGACATTAGTTCTTGCATTGGTTCTAATATAACACAAAGCTTGAAAAATGAAAAAAAAAGAAAGAARAAAATTACTTTCCTTGGATTTAAACATGAKAAAAGAAAAATATTGTACAGTTATGTTCCCTTAAACTACATGTAATGTACATGTAGTTTAAGGTTTAAAAAACATTTCTGCATCTGGAGAAGGAATTACTATAAATCAGAACACTGTATGTAAAGTATATCTGTAAAGGGGTACAATACTCACCCGTAAGTAATTCAGAGTAAAGTTTGTCATGCCATTTCTAGTAATATTTTTGGAGACCTGCTCTAGCATTCCTGGATCTTGCATTACCACTACATTTCGAGATACCATTTCCCTATGMTGTCGTACTGTAAAGTGCCAGTTGCGTATTCTCATTATGTCATCAAAAGTAAATTCTAAAATTAATCTTCCTTCTGTACAGACCTAATGTTAAGCATAATACAAATATCAATTACAATCACATGGACTTAACAAAGAAGCAGTGAAACAGGTTTATGCATTGGTTAAGGATTTATACTTTTCATTTTGTAAAATTACATTTTTCATTTTTTGGGGGGATGGAATAAAGGCTTCTAATACATGATGTTTAGAATAATGTTATCTTTGTTTCGTATTATATTATTAAAAACTACGAGTTAATGTGAGCATACCTTTGTATCAACTGGTTTAACATGGCTTGTAATCATTGTAGTATTTTCACAATCTAATGTTATTGTAGCACTATGGTAGGATTCTTTAGGATGTACAAGATGATAATATAATTCTGTAACACCACCTTCAAAAATACTTCTGAAATATCTTGGAATAAGTGTTCTCCCAATAGCTGACAATAAAAATTAAATGAAATTAAATGAAAATTAATTGATCTCATTCAAAAAAAATGTAGTGAAAATTCCTTTTATGTCATTCTTTGTATGCATACCAAAATCAAAGAAATGCCAAACATCCATTCACACTTTGTTTGGTTATTGAGTCTCAACTACAGTAATAATTAGTGAAGTTCAGAACTTTGAATAATGAGAGCAAGGGCATTTAGCGTTCAATTGCTGGCGTTCAATGTAGATTTACTGATGAAAATTGTAATATAGTTTTATAATTTAGCTATAGACTAAGTTTTAATTTCCAGTTACGTAATAACATACTGTCTGAATATCATCATTCAAGATCCTTAGAGTCTACTAGCTGTACTAACTAGCACTTGTCTCTCACTTTTTCTGTATGAACTTACTATATCTCTTTGGACCATCTTCTTGGAAGAAGTTCAGTGTTAACGTTGCATCCTCTTCAAAAAACTCTGTAACAAAACTATCCCACCAAATATTGTCACTTTCCTGTAAGGCAAAATAACACAATTTTGTGTATGTACAAATAAGTGCTATTTTAGAACTGTCCTCTGCTGGCTACAAGTAGGGGTATATATAGTATTAAGTGTTTTGGGTGTTAAATACATCACCATTAAAACTAAAGAAACAAACTAAACATGGAGTATATAAAAGGTTTATGTCTTTGTTGTTTGTTATGTGTAAGGGGAGGGGAGGGGAGGGTGTCTTTTTTCACTGTAATGTAAAATGTATAATTAACGTATATGTTTGTCATTGTAATTCAAACAATTGGAATTTATATTAAAAACATTAAAAAAACTCCACATGGTTTTATCTTGTACATATCAACTGTGTACAAATGTACAAATCAAATATCCCTAAGCATAAAACACACACACAAACACAAAATGTATGTCTGTAACATGTCTCCATCTCTTGTGAGCTTCAGRTCATGTGTAAAAAATAAATACATATGAAGTTATACTCCAAACCCCAGTTGGAAATTTTACAATAAGCATGGTTGAGAGATAAAATTTCCAAATTGAAATCCAAACAAATACAGCTACTAGTGGTCATGAGAGACTCGAATCCAAACTTGGGTTGCAAGACCAATGCCAGTGTGACCACTTGGCCATGTAGACTTGCCACTTACTCACACTATCTTTGGATATTTTAAGAATCAGGTAAAAATTTGAACAAAAAAATATGAGGCAGAGTGTAGGAGTATGACTTCCCTGCAGGGGGATTGAAAGTGACTTTCAGTCATGCTGTACTAYACCATTGAATAGTTATGGACTTTTTTCATAGSTGAAGTTAGTGAGAGCCCATGAAGATAATAAGATTACAAATGGSATGTGAAAATGGTTAAATTCATCTTCTCAGCTGGATTTCTTTGGTTTTCACAAAACTATGATATTCAAAGATAAGACAAAAACATTCACTTGAAGGAAAACAGTTTGCTGGTTGTTGGTGGATTAAAGTATTTTTTTTATAAAATATGCTCGTGGTTCCACTTGAGTTTTGATCATTTTCTGATGCCATTTTCATTGTCGATAAGCGTACAGACCATAGAAAAGCGATTTCGATTTGATTTTTTACCATAACAAAGCTGAAAACCAATTAAAATTTTCAAAACAAAACCGTTTCTAGYATGCGCCGGCTCCGTGCACAAGTGATTCGTCATTTCATTGGTCTGTCCTAGGATCGACAACGGCTCTCGACCAATCAGCGTGAAAGAATTCTACAACTTATGGTAAAAAGTAGTTTAGAACTACACTAGATCAGTTTAGTTGTTTTATGAACATCATACAGGTTGACTTATGATATTTCCCTCCACTGGACTTCATAGAACATGTCCACTAGATTTATGAAGTGGTTCTTGAGTTGCCAACTTTTTGCCATAGTGGCAAACTTTATTATAATGCACTACGTTCAAAATCCAAATATCTCTTTAAGTATCTACCCAAAAGACAAACTAAATTTTCGTAGATGCACATTATTATTATTATTTCATTAAAGCATTTTTAAATTTATCKTTTTACAGAACATTTCTTTAGAAACACCGACGTAKCTCACACTAGTAGTTTACCACTAGTTTCCACCAGTTTTAATAGTATAATGGACTAAAAAATCTGGGTTTTCTGCATTTTCAACTGACATAAAAGACATCAGACAAAGTTCTGTATGAAAATGAACTTGTTAACTTGAATGAACTTCACATCTAGTGGCAATAAATCCACTGTGGTAATACTTGATAATATACCGTTTGAATTATATTTTGATGCTGTGTTCTACAATCCCAACACTGTACAACAAGGATATCATTTTCAATCAATAACAATCCATATTACTTCTTGCTGATTCATGTGTTGCTTGGAAATCAGAGATTGCAGACAGTCAGCTGCTCAGTCAAATCAAAATAATAGAAAATAATGGATAAAAATTAAATTTAAACTACAGAAAAAATATTATTCCTGTACCATTGTTTTTTGTTGTTAATTTTTTTTATCATTCTGAAAACATTGCTAAAAAATTARGATATTCAAACGAAGGCAAAATAATACTATGTGTTTTYTTCTCTCTCATAGCCAGCTGTTTTTTGTTTTTCAGAAAAATAGTCATTAAAATGCAAAAAAGAAGACCAATTCTAYGAGTCCTTATTCACAGATGTTTAATTGTCATTCGCAACACAGATAAATCACAATAACTGCAACTTATTTTTAATAATTGTGAATAAAATAAACGCAAGACTATCTATAAGCTTTAAGAAACAAAAATTGTCATGATTTTACCGCAACAGATTCATCACGAAACGAAGACTCACACAATAACACACCGGGGATCAACGAACAGGCATCACAAGTACTAAAAATACACAAAATACGTCAATTTTTTTTCCTTTTTCTTCTTCTCAAATTTTACACATTTCATTTCAAAGATAGGAATAACCAAGCAATGAAAATTCTAAAACGAAACAGTCTTGTATTTATAGAGTTTCTCAATACACCTGTCTATTTAACTTAGTTTGTAAGTTTAGCACCGTGGAAAATATTACCACAGCTCAAATCATATAAACAGTTCGTTTTTCCTACAGATCTAGGAATTTACGAAGGTTATCGACAAAAAAAGTTCGAACGTTTCAATATGAGACACAAAGTTCGGTCCCGTGGGTCTAGCATTCAAATGGTTTCTTGGAACCACTTTCAGCGAAATTTATATTGACAAAGAACGACTATCCAACATGGTTACTTTTGTACATAAACCAGTCTGATAGCAGCAAGGAATTCAAAAAAAGGGAAATACCAATGATGTTCATTTTGATGGAAAAGCTTAGCTATTCTACGAATGAACGAAAATCCTCAGAGCTTTGACCATCCAAACATAAACAAAATACAGCCCAAGCTGCGAACGCTTCACAACTGTGGTTACAAGCCACAAAGATCTCATCCAAACAGGCAAATGATCTACCTACCTCGGTTCTCTGTTGCAAGCGACGGTTCAATTCGTATATGCGAATATCTGGGTTAGCATAGTACGGAGTGTGGCGCCTATGACACATAACAAGATCTTGTAAGCCTATATACGGCAATTGACAACTTGAAAATGCTGAACATCTAGTCGAGATAGATTGAGCACAAAGATTATAGCTTGGTTAGAAATTAGCTAGAGCGTATAATAACATCTAAAACACAAAAACCAGGCAWGATTTCATCTTAAAGTCAATAAAGATATAAAGAAAGAAGAGAATCTTACAAGGCATTCATAATATATTACCCAGTCGAAAAACTCGGGCTTGGAAGAGGAATACTCGGCATTCTCCAGGGCCTAGCGTTCGCCGTTTTGGGTTCCACAATGCTTGATCCTGGAAGCTTTGAAACTTCCAAGGAATACTCGTCGTTTTTATATGTGTAGTCTTTAAAGCGGCTCGTGTACAACCAAGGATCTTTCTTGAATCTGAATAAAGCGAGTGTCAGGAAGACAACAAAAGCCTCATTACAATGACAAAGACATGGCCCCACGCATACAAATTTGTAAGGACTGCGCATTCAGGTCATCCATGTTAGAATGGGACACAATCAATCCAATCCAATACTCTTAATTATGAAATGTTTACCACAACCTGACTTTGTAATCCCCAAAGAAAATCTTCTCTCTAGACCAATTTCTGTAGCATGACATTTCGAGCTGGTCAACCGAACAAGCGTGGAAAATAGATCACAAAAGTCACAGTAGACAGAGTCGATCATAGCATGGAATGTTACTATCGAAAATACACCGCTTATAGCCTCAAATTCATGCTTTGACAAGCACTTTTTTCTTATCAATTTAAACTGAACGCTGAAAATAATCCACAAGGATAATGGACTCGGAGAAAATAGTGCAAATACAAGACCTTTCGATCTACACAGCAAACTCGGATTTGGACACAAGCTATCAACAAGTTGAGCGTCGTTAACCAATCGCTTGTCGCGAAATGAAAGGCCATCACATTGAATACTCAGCAGATCTCACCTTTGTGTAGCACCATTCAAATTCAGCTAATCAATATAATAGTTTCTTCTCATACTAGGAATAAAATTACCTCGTAAAACTGGCAAAATGCAAGCTTTCTTCGAGCGCACAAAACCCGAGGACACAAACGCAAGCCCACCCGCGTCGTGACAGACCGATGTTTGCTGTTTGCTCGATAACGATTGGTTCAAATTGAACCAATAGGAGGTAAGCGGGAAAATAAAATAAATATTTCTAATATTGGGTGAACTGCATCCGATTTTCAGTCTCTTTTAGTTGCTTTTTTTTCCGTTCAATTAAATAATTATACGGTTTGGAGTTTGAATGTTAACAACTCTGCTCGACACAATTTCTCAAAACATTATCTACATGTAAATTCTTTGTGCAAATTAGTTTGAGCCTTTTGCAAACTGGTACTTAATGCCATATACCATCGAATATACCAATACACTGGACGGCAAAAGAATGTAAACAACCTCAAAAACTAAAGGAACGCAGCCCGTCAAGCTTGACTTTTCTTTGTTTTGATGACCCAGTGGGTATTTTGCCATCCAGTATGGAGAAGTTTTAATAGCAAGAGGCATTGGGACTGGATAATCCTCAATGGCAGCCGCTCCTTCGTGTCGGTACGGTTGCGTGAAAAAGCATAGAATCTGTCACAGTTGCTTTTTTAGTTTCCAATTAAACTTTCTTTTAATTTTAAACGTTGCCTCCCCTCTTTAAGCACAAAAAAAAATCACAGGTCCACTACCCAACTTATTTTAACTGTGAAAAAGGCTCCCTATTCACGCACACAACTCACAACCCGCCAAAAGTGGATAACAGATTGATTAGTAAACTGCACACCGTGTGCACATTGTGAAACTACAAAAAAACATAGTCAGAGTGGAAGCTAAAGCACAGGTGTCTTTAAATGCCAACTAATTTCAATGTGTCTTGACAAAGTTCTAATTTCAGAGGAACGAGAAAAAATTCAGGACACAAACGTCAAAGGCAGGGCGATTATCAATTTGTCAAAACTGATCAATCAAACTGATTGCCCAGCCCAAAAAACAATTCATCATTAATCAAATTTTTTTTTCACTCCGAAAAATAAATTTCTAAACTTTGGAAATTATTGAAAAATCTAAATAGACCGCTTTGACCAACCAGTTCTGTCTAAGTGGAAAGCGCCCTTGGAATTCAAATCTCTTTACCATAAAAGAATAACATAGTTATTGTGCTTTGGTAAATGTTTTTGGTAATGTTTATTATTGTTACTACCCCCTTTATCTAAATCTTCTTTAACCGTCTTTTTTTCGAATTTACAACTGCGCGGCAAAATTCTATTGGTATATCTTCATCAAGACATCCTACATTACATTATACAGGTAATTATTATTTCTTTGAGAAGATCGACACTTCTGTCAGGTCATATCCAGTAATCCCAAAACTGTGGCCTTCCTGGTCCAGAAATCTCCCGCCACATAATTGGGTATCAATAATATTCTGCTGGAATTTCAATTCAACCTGGAAAAGCAATGCAAAGGTGATGTTTAAAATCGAGACAACGTCCGACGACAACTGAAAACAATGCATTATAGGATATGTTTGGGACAAAACATKTCGGCTTTTTTTTTATCCACAAACTTATTCCACAATGCACTGCAAATCACATAGCTGATGTAAAAGCTTCACAGAAGCATAACACATGAAAATTATTGAGAAATTTTACGCACAGGCCTCATAGAATCCAACATGTACCAGAGTGCCATTTCTACATGATACTCATTAAACAAGTGCAATCTGACAATTATGAAAGAAAGGGCTGCGTGTGAACTTCTTTAGGCAAAAATATCATATATTTCACAGACAACTAAGCTTTAAGTTTTTGCATTGAGTTCTAATATTCACCTTGGGACTTTCACCATCATTTACTTGCCAAACTCGAACAAATGTGTCTTCCGAAACAGATAGTAACTGAAAATAAGAAATACAAGGATAAAAACACTGATAATATCACAAGTACAATGTTAATACAAATGACATGACAATGAAACAAATTGAAGCAATTAAAACTCAAGTCTTCTGTCCTTTCCGCTTTTTTACCCTTTCCCTGTAGTCTTGTTTATCCAGTTAGTTCCATTCAAAAAAGACATACTTACCAAACCATTTTCTTCAGCTACATCCAAGGCATTCACCCACTGTGCATGAGCACAAATCTCAAACACAATCTTTCCCGTTGTTAAATTAAATATTCTAATATGTCCAGTTCCATAACCACCAACAACATATTCTTTGTACAGAGCAAGTGAGGAACACGGGAATCTAGAAGAAAACAAGCATGCTCTACAAACAATTGGTAAGATAAAATAAAAGGATTTTATGTTTTGTCATAAAAGCCTTAGCATAGTGGCAATATTAAACTGTCTATTTTCCATACATGAAAAAACTGTGTACAAAATGGTACTCATTASCTTGCTGTCAAAACATGGCTAGATACTCTAAGCACAGTACTCTATTTAATTGATTTGAGAAAGCTGTGTGTTACAATGAACAGATAAGAGAGATCTTTGCTAGCATTAGTTTGTCTGATCTGTGATATAGACAACCYGGTATAGACAAAGAGCACAAAAATAGTGCATTTTTTAATTTCAAAGAAAAAAATAACATGATTACAAGTAATGTTTAAAGTGCGACAATGAGGACTGGACGGGGTTTCAAGTCCGCGCAATTAGTTCCAGTCCGAGGCGTTAGCCGAGGACTGGAACTAATTTCAAGGACTTGAAATCCCGTCCAGTCGGAATTGTAGGACTTTGAACGACTTCTCATACTCATTAATTATTTGGGAGGGGAAAAAAGCGAAGGAAATACATATAACAGAAATATATTGATTTATTGCATCTCCACCAAGGTTTTCAGTTTTCATAATTTTGAATAAAGAAGCACCGTTTGTTGTTTTCCAATTCCCGAACGGCTTTCTGAAACAAAAGCTTTTCAAATTGTCTTTGTTTGCTTTTCATGGCATTCCTAATGAGTCTAATTCATAAGTTTTATAAGTATGTTATCTTCCAAGGAATTGCATTAGAAACTCGGTGGTGTAACGGTATAAGACAGCGCATATAGATTGCACGGTTCGGGATCGTTTCGTGAGGGAGTCATCAAAGAACTTTTTTTACTAAATCAATTCTATATTAAGTTGATTATTTCTAATACTTTGATTATCATTAGCTAGTAGTAGTTAG